AATTCTACTAGAATTTGAATTGGGATAATTGGTCATAATTATCCCACAAATTATACTACCTATATATATAACCATAAGTTCTCCTCTCTCAAATTATCCCACACATTGGAAAGAATACAATTGGGAAAAAAAGTGAAACGTCGCCTCCCTCCCTCTTGGTTAAAATTTTTTTGCCATGAAGTCAATCATCCGTTCATTTTTCTGTCTTTACTTTGTTTTTGTGATGATTAGATCTTTTATTATTATCTTCAAGATGTATTACTTTATTGATAGCTTTTTGACGTTTAAATTACTTTATTATTATTTGTTTGATCTAAGTTTTCTCTCCACAACAGTGGTTTAGGTTAAGAATATAGTGTTGGTGGGTTAGTGCTAAAGATATGCGGGCTATTTATATTTTTTTTACAAGTTAGAAAGCAACTTTGCGATCACATTGATGATTAGATGTTGAATGGTTAATGGTGATATCTATTATTATTAAATCGGCTCAGTAAATTGATTAGGATATTTATAGTTCATCTGTCGATCATCTGTTTAGCGGCCACGGATGATTCTTGTGTACATTTTATTTATTTGCTGATTTGGTTTCAGCGATCATGATGAGATTGGTCCAAAGGGTTAATGGCTGAAAAATGCTTATTTTTCTTTCTTTATGATGTTATGAGATTTGAACTTCGACATTTATGATCCTCCACTAGAAGCTCCACGAAATGTTGCTGATGCAGACGATGACTCCGATAAAGAAGACGAGTTACAGACTCAATGAACAGTTGTAGGAGTTTGGAAAAATTCTATGGCAGATACCATGTGGGATGATAGAAGCCATGTGGGATGATGGAAGTCGAGTCACTCTAGGGATTTAGATTTTTATTTATTTGTAAATTATTTTATTATTTGAGATGAATAGTGATGCTTTATTGCATTATATTTTATAGTTATCACTAGAATTTGCTTATAAATATTATATTATTTTTAATATACAATTATTAACAATAGTAATTTATACCCACCATTACCTCTACCAAATTATCCTACCAAATTATGCAACTTCATAATATTATCCATCATTATCCCACCAAATTATCCTACCAAATTATCACACTTTAATAATTACTCATCATTGTTCCACTAAATTATCTGTGTCAAAAAATTATCCCACTTTACCAATTATCCCAGTTCTACTTAAAAAGTTCTAGGTGACTAACCCCCCCTTAGGTTCAGCACTTAGTCTACATGTTTCTTGACTTAATTCTGACATTTTTAATATTTATCTTTTTTCTTTCTCTATCTCTTCTTATGTTAGTTAATTTCTACTATATATGTTTATTCTTTACCTTCCTTACCAAAGGTTTGACCCTCTTCTCTCCGGCTAAATACACACCATCTGAAGGTGGCTTTTTCTTCAGACTAAGGACTCGAACCCGGCAGCACTCATGCTGCCTTACAACCATCATCACACTCCTAGCATGCTGCTTCAAAGAGAGAGCGCATAGTCTAGTTTCGTTTCCTACCTCTAGGCATAGCTTGATAAACAAAGCAAATATAAGCAGACTAGAAGAGAATTAAACTACATAATGAAGACAGAGATTGGAGGAAAAAAGAAAATTTAGAACATTATATTATTAATAAGAAATAAACTTACAAGATTTCATTACAAGACTTCAAGCCGGCAGAATACCAATGCAAGCTCTGATACCACTTTGATCACACACTTTCTGAAGACACTTTAAAAACACTCTTTGACTTTTTTTGATGATCCTTACAAGGCCTTAACCCCTCCTATATATAGGCTCAAAACCGATTTAGGGAATCTTTAAAGTTAATTTACAGACGTTTCTTTATAAAAGTAGCTTTAGAGAAGATAACTTTTCAAAAGTAACTTTTCAAAAGTAACTTTAATAAAGTCACTTTAATAAAGTAACTTTTCAAAAGTAACTTTTCAAAAGTAACTTGAAAAGTAACTTTTCAAAAGTAACTTTAATAAAGTCACTTTAATAAACACTTTAATAAAGTAACCTTATTCTGGAAGACTAATGATGCTTCTCGTTTGTTATCTCGGTGCTCCTTCTAGGGTCAAGCAAGTCCCACCATGCTTCTCTGTCTGTTTTTGGAGTCGTATCTTGATTAAAAGAGCATACTAAAAAAGTACTTCTTCCTGTGGCCATCATTAATTCATACTACTACTTTGCTCAGCGGGCGATGAGTCCTAAAACCATGATTTCTTCAAATTTTTCCTACAATTCTTTTTTCTTTGAAGACCAAATGAGGGAGATAGAGAATAATATGATCCTTTAATATTATTTTCCTATTATTGCAATGCAATGCTTCAAAGTACTCAATTGCAGGCATTTCTTTTTCATCTTTCAGATTATATTCTTTTTCATTGAACAGAGTATGTTGGAAGTGGGGTTTCCTTGTTAAAGGGTCTATCCTCCAGATTTGGTAGGAAGGATAGAATTCAAACACATTACGTTCTTCCCATATTGTCCATATTTTATACTCAAAAACTCGTTGAAGTTTATGTATTTCTTCAAGTGTCTGATTGCATACTTCAGGAATAAAGGGCTTGTATTCTTTGAGTCTAGTTTTAGTAACATATAATTCGTGTTAGGCCCTTTTTAATATGTTTTTTATGTATGAGTATAAGCTAAAAGCTAGCTAGTACATTGGGTCGGTCATATTGGTTCAATATAACCCGTGAGGCTGATTTGAGCAACGAGCTTATCCCGTCATCCTTCAGCTTTAAAAAAATGGGAGCATTGCCTGATCATCAATCTGGTTTCTTTGATAATTGTTGTCCATGTCTTTTAATTTTCTGTGTCTGATATTTTGAAATATCAAACTTGAAATAGTTGGCGAGTTTGACAAAAACATCAACTTTTATTACTGCTAGATCTTTGATCTCAATTTCATCTAGGATCGTTCTTAGATACATTGAGTTTGAGCCCATAAAGTCTCACATTTGTTCTTTCTGCGTCTTCGGGGCCGTTGACATAGTCAAGATTGATTGACTCATAAGATTTTTCACAATGTCTTTGCATTTGTGGTATCCTTTCTTGAGGTCTTGAATCTTTCGATTCTTTTTCTTGATAATTTTTTCTAATGCTGATAACAAGCATTAGTATCTGAAGCGGAAACTCTCTTTTTCTGGAGTTTCTTTCAGAGATTGCTTATTGTGGTGTAGTCTTCTTCTGGTAAATTGGTATTATACCAGTTTTGACTACTATGTCTTTAAACTGTAGAGGCTTTTTCTAGTGCCCTAGGGAGCATTGAGCTTCTTATTTTGAGAAGTTTTTTTTCCTGCTTCTCGCCTTGCTTTTATCCGGTTGCTTTCCCGATGAGGAGCCGGCCATGCCTGGATAGGAAATCAACGCCAATATTAGTGAATTCTGGAATATATTGAACAGTATGAATATAGTTCTCTAATTCCATGGACCATCTAATTCTGCGCATGTTCTTCTCAATTCAAGAATTAGTTTTCTTTTTGAGAAACCGTGTAACAACTTGATTATCCATTTCAATAATGAACTTGGATGATAATATATATATTTATAAGGAATTAAAAATAATTTTGATTATATATATTATATATAGTATATATATATATATATATATATATATCTATATATATTTATAGAGAGAGAGAGAGAGAGAGAGAAGAGAGAGAGAGGAGAGAGAGAGAGAGAGAGAGAGAGAGTAAAGAATATTTAACTCCTAGTAGCACTAATGTAATATAAAAGTTTGGGGGCTATGGAAGTATTAAAGGGGCGTAGTATTATGTATTGTGTGTTTGTGTTTGACTTGAGGGGGGGGGGGGTTTTATGTATGCATGGATGTTTTTTATGGATGTGCATATGTGTTTTGAAGGGCTTTTCAGAAGAAAATGATTTAACATCCAACATACTTTTATAATAGTATAAGATATAAGATTGTTTTATAACAAACGCTTTCTCCTTAGAAGATTAACAATCTCTGTAAATATTCAAGTTTCTGGGTGAAGTGGTCACTCCCAGGATTAAACAACAGTCCCACATTCATATCTTCTTCAACACTTCCTACACCACATCAGGAAAGAAAAAAGAGAGTCTTGGAGGTGGGATTCATCTGTTCAAGCTTGATTATCTCTACACCCAATGTGAGTTTTCTATTTTGGTTTGTTCCCTAGCAGAATTGAACAAACAAATGGTTTATTATGGCATACAAAAGGACTCTATTCTACGTGAACCACATGGTTAAATTATTCTTGAATTAAAAGAAATTATGAATCGGCTTTGACTCTAAACAATGAAGTCAAATAGTGCCATTGGGAATTTTGTAGAGAGTTTGATCCTGGCTCAGGACAAAGGTAAGTGGTATGCTAATACCCTGTACATTGCGGACCAAAAGGAGTAAACACCTGTGTATGTGGAGATGTCTGGATGTCCGACTCTGGATACTATGAGGGTGCACTGCCTATCAGCTTGGCCTTTTGGAATGTAGTTACCAAGGCATGTTCTACTTTAAGGAACAACTTGATATTCTGGATGTCTAAGATGTTAAATCCATTGCATGGTATTCCTTTAACATGGAATATTCCAGTGCGTTTCCTTTCCCTCATATAAGAGATTTTACTTACAATTGAAGTCAGTTATTTGGAAGGATAAAACAGGTGATTCTTTTTTATCTTTAACTACAAAATCCATCAGTTATGACTTATTAAAACTATAATCATCCAAGTTGACAGGTCATTATGTGACTGCTGGATAGCTTCTGTGTCTTACTCAATTATGCTTTGATGATTGCTTTACTCGTTCTAAGTTGAATGACACTCTAGGATAGTTTCTAACCTTGCATTGAATGTCTATTTGTGTCTACATGACGACTTTTCAATGTTCAGAAACTATTTAGTAAACTACTAAATTTTGTTGACTCTAATAGGCATATCATTTATTCTTTTGGTTCAACAACTTCTGTGTGTCCAACACCTATCTAAATAGATTTCTTTCCCTGTTTATGTGCAGGTCGACACTGCACCGAGTAATAGTTGATGGTCAGGAGCGCTATTCTGTAAGTTCCATGGATCATGGTTTTGAACAAGTCTTCTGAAAATAATACATATCACCCATGCCGCCTCTCCTTTTTTAAGTAGACTATGACTTATCTTGCTATCGTTAGGTTTTCAGTACTTCGTAAGACATTTTGGTCTTGTTTGCATATCAAGTGCATGATTAACAATATGACCTGGTCTGGCACTTGGTTGCTTTCTGTCTTTTATTGTTATTTGTAATCAAAATATTAATCTCTTCTACATGTCTGCAATCTGGTTTATGCTTAGCATATCTTAGCATGTTCATGTCCACATATAGGACATTTCATTTATCTGTAGTCATTAGTTCTCACCTGATACATCGCTATACGAATAATCTGTACTATTTTCCCCACATGGTAAGTTTTCACCTGACATTTTGAATGTCGGCCCTAGACAAGAATCAAAACCAATTCTGATCCATCATTTAAAGATTTCTGTGGTAAAATATTATATTTTTAATTCACTATTTGTAATGGAAGCAGATTGCCTATTTTGTGGAGCCAAGCCATGAGTGCCTTGTTGAGTGCTTGCCGACCTGTACATCTGAGGCAAACCCTCCCAAGTAAGTTTCCACTCCTGATACTTTTTGTGTATGTATGGATGTGTATTTGTATGAGTTGATAGGTTGGGATAGTTTCAAGAAGTTTGTTTCAGGTTGTAAATAAGAATGCAATGGATGTCCTTGAATATATTCCTATCCATACCCGACTGGATACATATAGAGATTATCTCTATATGTATCCAGTGGGATATGGATGCATATATCATTTTATTTTTTGATTGGATGTCAGTACGAGTATGATACAGGTGAAAAAAAGTCGGATACAAATGTGGTTATTTGGGTTTTTGTGTCAATTAAATGGTTGAAATTGTATTGGCTTTGAATTGGTAGATCTAAACCAAATTTTGATAATCTAGATGGTAATGCTTAGATCTTAAGTGTGTTGAACACGTTGGTAGGTACTGATTTGAGAAATTGTGTTTTATTTCAATATTACTTGTGTCGCGTGATCTATATACTTTTTGGTCTTTCTATTTTCCTTACGTCAGGTATGTATCCTCTCTTTTTTAGGTCAATGAAATAAACTTTTATTCATCACCAAACTTTGAAAATGTGGAGTACATCAAGATATCAAAATCATGTCTGATATGAATCTAAACCTGAAAGCAAATCACGCTTTACAGTTTCTCAAATTTTCCTCTTTTACATGATCAGGAATATTTTCATTAAAAACTTTAGAAAAATAGAGAACTTCACATCTTTGAATAGCCGATCAGGAGAATGCATTTTTTGCTGAAATATCCTCAGGTTCCTCTCCTTCCATACCCAATATACAGTTGCCGATAGTGCCATTCTTTTCATTTTCTTCATGAAACCATCCCCCTTCAAGTTATTGCTATACTAGGTTATGATTTGGTTCCAGCTGCAAGATCTCCAAGCATAATTCAACCAATCCATCACTTTATTCCAAACATATGTAGAGTATTGACATTCAAAGAACAAGTGCTTGTTGGTTTCCTCTTGACGATTTGAAGCTGGACATAAGACACAGTGGTTTGTTTCCAGAATTCCCAATTTTCATAGCCTATCTTGTGTCAATAATCTGGAGAGGGTAGCTAACCATAAGATAACTGAGTGCTTTGGATAGTGTAAGCCACCCCAAATTGAGTCTGACCAAGTTACAGGGCTAGTTGATTGATTTAAAGCTTGATATATGGAAGAAATCTGAAGTTTGCCATTAATGTAACAGTCACAGATAGTTTTTAACAGTTCATCCTTGTTTCCAAATCTTCTTAAAGCCATATCTTTCACCTTAAGCAATTGTATCCACATCCAAGAGACATTTTTCTTTGGTTGAACTAACCATAAATCAATTTGGCGAAGATAGTTCCCATGCACCCATTTAATCCACAACAAATCTTTTTTGATGTGTATCATCCATAGAGTCTTTATTGTAGCTGCATAGTTCCAATTCTTTGCAGAAAATAATCCCAGCTCCACCCATCTTTTTGTCTTTGCAAGTATCACTCTAGGAAACCAATTCTAATTTTTTGGCCCCATAAGAAAGAAAGCCGAGCAAAGTTTGCTAATTTTTTCCAACACCTTGATCGGCAGAACATAATTGCTTGTCCAATAATTTTGGATCCCCAATATAACTGATTTGATCAGTTGTATTCTCCCAGCATTCGACAATTTTCTCCTGCTTTGCTGACCCTGGAATTGTTCAGAGATTTTGCTGATCAAAGGTGAACAATCCAGATAATAAAGTCTTTTACATATCAATGGCATTCCCAAATATCTCACAGGTAATGAGCCCTCTGAGAAATTTAAATAAGAATAAATCTGATTCCTTATATTATCTTCAACCCCACCAAGGTATATAGAACATTTGCTAGAGTTAGCCTCCAAGCCTGACACCCTACTGAATTCTTGAAGACAATAGTTCAATTTACTTATTGAATTCATATCAGCTCTGCTAAATAGGAGTAAGTCATCAGCAAAAATTAAGTGGGTGATCTTCATGCCAGCACATTTTGGATGAAACTTGAAGGAACTGTCAGTTTTAAGTGTTTTAAGCTTCCTGGACAAATATTCCATACCAATCTCAAATAGATATGGAGATAGTGAATCACCTTGTCTCAATCCCCTAGCTCCCTCAAAATATCCATGTAATGACCCATTAAGGGATAAAGAAAATCTTGTAGTAGTAACACATTCCATAATCCACATAATCATGTTTTCTGAAAATCCTAGCCGTGTCAACATGGCTTTGATGAAATTCCAACTTATTGTATCAAATGCTTTCCTCAAGTCTATGTTAAGAACTACCCTTGGTGAAATGTGCCTTCTTCCATAATGCTTGATGAGCTCATGAGCAAGCAAAATATTGTTTGAGATAAGTCTTCCTTTAACAAAAGTACTTTGTGCATCATTGATCAGATATCCTATAATTTTCTGAATTCTAGCGGCCATAATCTTTGAAATAATTTTGTAGACACAATTGTAGCAGGAGATTGGTCTAAAATCAGATGGTGAACTAGGATTGAGAATTTTAGGCACTAATGTGGTAGCTGTTGTATTAAAAGCTCTAAGAAGCTTACCAGAATTAAAGAATTCCTTCACAGCTTTGATCAAGTCATCTCCAATAATATCTCAAGCAGCCTTGAAGAAAGAGGCACTAAATCCATCCGGTCCAGGAGCTTTTTCGTCAGAAATTGCATAAACAGCTTGTTTGATTTCATCTCTAGTGACAGGAGAGCTCATGATGATCTTCTGGCTATTACTGAGAATAGGACCATCAGAGATTACTGCATGGTCAGGATCAGAGGTGTGTATTGTAGTGCCTAAAAGTCTCTTATAGTATGCAACAAGCTCAGATACAATCTCAGACATTTCAGTAACTCTTGTTCCATCTTCAGAGCATAGGGATAATACCCTATTGTGGTGTCTTCTGGCCTTCATGACTGAATGAAAATATTGAGAGCATTTATCAGCATGCACAGCCCAATTGTTGTTAGTTTTTTGCCTGTAAAAGGATTCTTCACAAAGCAACAACCTATTGTATTTATGAATACATTCCTTCTCTTTAGAAATCAGGTTTGGATTGAAGAGATCATTACTCAACATCTTTTGAACTGCTTTTAATTCCTCCTTAGCTCTTAAAACTTGCTCTCCTATGTTCATGAAATGTTTTTTGTTTAACTCCTTAAGAGCATGTTTAAGTTTCTTGAGCTTGGAAACCAGTCTGTACATGTTGAACCCTTGAATTTCCTGCTCCCAAACAGATTTAACAACAGATAAGAAATTTGTATGCTTTGTCCACAATTTGTAGAATTTGAAAGGCTTTTTGCCCTGGTAATCTTCATCCCCAATAGTTATAAGTGCCAGTGAATGATCAGAACAAACCGGAACTAAGAATTCCACTTGACTTGACTTGATGTGTATTGCTGAATCCATCTATCATTTACCAAGATTCTGTCTAATCTGCTCTAAACTCTAGTGTTAGCCTCTTGTTTGTTGCTCCAAGTGAAAAAACACCTAGTGGATTTGATGTGTAGCAGCTGACTTGAGGATATGAAACTTTGGAAATCAACCATGTCAGAATCTGAAGTATACGTGCCTCCTAGTTTTTCTTCATCACTAATAATTGTATTGAAATCCCCACCAACCAACCAGGGACAATTAATATTCTGATTGAAATTAAGGAGACCTTGCCATAGAGTTATTCTCCCCTCCCTTTGATTTAAGGCATAAACCACAGATATCATGCATGAGAGATAGCCATCCTTTGATTGAACTGAGCATGACAAGTATTGTTCAGTAGATTTAACACATTGGATTGTGAGAATGTCATTATTCCAAAGAAGCCAAATCCTTCCACTACCAGCCTCTTGAACATTTGATACCCAATTCCAATTTTTAGCAATTTTTTCGGCTATAAGATTCATTTTTTCCTCAGTAAGCTTTGTTTCTAAGAGAGCTATAAAAGGAAGTTTATAGTCATGTATGAATTGCTTGACACTCAAGTGTTTAGAGGATTTATTAAATCCTCTAATATTCCAGATAGCTAGGTGCATTATTGATTTCCACACCTATCAACATAACAGGGGTCAAGCTCATTCACCTGATAATCCAATGGAGAGAATTGAGTTTGATGAATTTGATCTCCAGTAGTATTAACTTTTGTTATCCTAGCAATATTTGCTCTACTGACACTAGTAAATCCAGATGCATTTACCATTGGGGATGAAAATTGATAAACATTTGTTAGTTCATGTCTGACACATTGTATAACAAATCCTGCTGTGCATGTTTCCCAGTTTTTTGAAAATCAGGGGTACTAGCAATTGCTTTTCCTTTATCAGATGAGCTAGCAGTAGTTTTACCTTGACCATTCATTTTGTGCATGTTTTCACCAATTTGTTGTGCATCTTTTCCAACCATTTGCATTTGCTCAGAATTTGCATCATTTCCCAGTCTGATACTGGCATGTGCATTTTTTCCAGAATTTACAGTTTGCTCTTCCCCTTCCCCAGCATCTGGTCTTATTCCCCTCATATGAGATTGTGCATTTTCCCCAGATACATGCATATTCTGTTCAGTATTAGCTCTTCCACCAGCTCTTGTTCTTGATACATGTCCAGACACATGTGATTCTGTTTGTGCACAATTTGCATGTGCATCATTTCCCTCCTTCCTATTAATAGGAATCCACGTTTTTCTAATTTTGTCTTCTGCAATGATCAGTTTCATGCCCAATAATATTGTAATTAGAACACCATCTAGGTTTAAGTTCATAGATAACTTTCTGATTATAGCTTTTTCCATCTGGTCCTTGGATATCAATACTGTCAGGTAATGGCTCCTTTAGGGGCCATTTCACCTCAAGCAATACTCTTGCGTAGCTTAGCCTTTGTCTTGTTGTTGTTAACATATCAGTTGTTATAGGGCACCCTTTAAGGCTTGAAATTTTGCTAATGCCAATAACACTCCATAGATTGAGCTAAGGTTAGGAAATTACACCCACATTAGATAGGAACAATCCTGATTTTTTTCCATTTTAGTGTCAATGGACCATGGCTTAAGAACCAACGGTCTAGAGCCAAAAAACCAAGGCGCTGCTTCCAAAATATCCCTCATCTGCTGCTCAGATTGGAAGTAAAAAAGAAACACTCATTGCTTGATTAAAGAAGTTTTAGGTATTGATATTCTTCCCCATACTTTGCTTTTATATGCTTCCATAGATCTAAATTTAACATTCAACCCTATAACATGCCCTATCAATGAGTATTTCCAGTATTCTTCACCTTTCTTCCATTCCTCAACAGAGAAAATTACATGAGAAGGTGGAATAAAATTTAGAGACGATTCTTTCCCTGGTTTCCTGTTATCAGAAAAGAGGCTAGCAAAAGTTTTTTTAACCTGGTTATTCATTTTATTAGCCTCATCATCTAGCCCTAGAATTCCTGATTCACCATTACCATCCCCTTCCAGATTTAGCTTTCCAGCATTCCCATTTTCTATAACAGATTGAGCTACAAACGGAGTAAATATCTCAATATTCTCATCAATCACCTCAGTAGACTCATCTATACCAGATGCATTACCTTCATCCACATCATCAGCCCAAGAGATAGAGTTAGGAGTCTTAGTTGGCGAGCAAGAACATGACCAGATCTAAGTTGAATCGGATCTGAGATTGAATTAGTTCTAGCCAAAACCTCTTCCATTAACAACTTCTTCTTAGCTCCCTTTGGACCTGTACTCTCCATTACTGCCATGGATGGAGCCCTCAATGCCTTTACTGTTCCATTGCTTTCCTCAGCTCCATTGATCTCCACCGATTCCTCAAATCCCACAGTTCCATCAACTGTAGAAGAAGAGGAAGGAAAGACGAAGATTGAATCTCTTAATACAGTGTTGACGATCCCCTTGCTTCCACTTTTCTTCTTCTTCCTCATTTGAGAACAGGCGGAGACGCACAATAGCAGGAGAAAAATCGCCCTATAAAATGCGCCCTTTAACTAACTGCCCCCTGTATAATTAGTTATTTCCAGGTATATATCTTCTTAGTCATATCTGATATCCTCTCATTGTAGTCATATTTGTACTGCATTTGGTAGATATGGATATGGTTGTTATGCTGAACCATATTCGTATCTGTTTCTGTAGCATGTCCAATCTGTATCTAACCCATTTGCATCCGTAGTTACTAATTCTATTAGAACGTTTATTCAGATATTGGTTTATCATATTCTTTTTGTTAATTGAGTTGTTGGATCAACTTATTCGAGTGAGCCTATTTTGTTTGTTGATAGTAGTTTGGATTTTCATCAGGTTTCCTCCAGTGACATGTGCAGAATACCTATCAAAGCGATATAAGGACACACATGCTGATCTAAGTTCATACAATAACGGTTATCGAGCATGAAAGAGAAAAACTCCATATTTCTTTTCAAGGTCGAAGTTCTGTACAGGAGCTCTCTGGTTTCTCCCATTTAATACCTTATATGATCCTTATAACAGATCAATACCATAACATAAAGAAGATAAAAGATTGTCGGCAAAGATGCAACTGAAAATGTATGCTATTTATTATGTAAATTTTGATGTCTCTTGTTTGTATCATTTGATCAATAATGACGCAAACCCTGTTGGAACTAGATGTATCTGGATTATCAGCTTATATATGATTCATGTTTAATTAGTAAAACTTGTTTGATTATGTAAACAGCTGAAATTTTATGGGTTCACTGCTTGCTAACAGGCAAAATTTCCTAAGCCTATTAACACCCCGCGCTTGTGAAGCTGAGGGCATTCAAGCTGCCAATAACATGTCGTTACAACTTTGTGCTGTTTGGATCGCTCTTGCATTTGAATGCAGATGTAAAATCTCTGAATTTTTGGTCTATTTTGCTTTCGCAGCAGTATATCAGTACCGTAAAAACATCCAAGAAACACATCTTGAAGTTTGGATGTAGTTGGAACCACAAAAGGCTCCAACTACTCCTGTCCGAGAATGTGAGCCGTAATCGAATGTTCATTATGACCTGTTGTTATTGGAATTAATAATCACATGGTACTCCCTTAAAATTGGAAGAAACATAACATGTCCGCTTGCATGGAAAGTTTAGGTTCGATGGTTTTCTATAAGAAAGAAAGGCTTTTCCTTTCCAAATTGTATAACCCATGTCAAACATTGTGCGGGCATGGTTTTTGAAAAGAAAAGGATAGAACAGAAACTGAAAGTGGAGGAAAAGGAAGAAACAACACCAAATTAACATGCAAAATCTCCAACATGACTGATATTTCGTCGATGCACTACAAAGATCTTGACTTCATCAGAGTAAGGTTTGAGAACAACTCTATTGATGTGATCGCTAATGCATATCTATTGTTTCTAAAGCTTCCGACGTACATTTGAGATCCTATACGGATCATAATCAATTTCACGAATAGCAATCTTCATATCATTTGACAACAAAATTTCCTAAGCCAAAGGCTAGTCTTTTCCTGCGAAATTTGTTCTCTACTTAACATGTATAACACAGAAAAATCTTACGGAGAACCCTTTATAGAGAATATCATAGGGGAGGCAGAAAAGGGTGACACCTATCACATCAGCGCGTCGTGGTGGTCACCTGTCAATTATTGCACTCATTATCAATGTAGTTGTGACTGAACTAATGTACATTAAGATTTGCAATGTGACGGGTATCATCTCCTTCTACACACAACTATTGCCATACGACAACACAGCAACATCTATCTACGACCACCAACAAAACCTTTTCAATGTTACAAGCACACAGTCTTCTGTATTGTGTAATATGATTACCATTTTCTAGAAGAACATCAACGAAAAAAAAATTAAAAGCAATTTTCAGTTTGTGCAAAGCTATTATCCAAGATTCACTGACAATAATAATGGGGTATAATACTGTCAAAAAAGGAAAATGAAAAGACAAGAAACTTAAGATGACAACTATAATGGAAACAATTGAAGATCGATACCAGCAAAACCTAGTAATTAGCTACTGTAAAAGTTTGAAAGAATCTGTCTGCTAAATTTATCGATAACTACGGTATCTGGGACTGTACATGCAACTCTCTGCAAACTCCACCAGATTGCTTGGACGAGGGAGATGGCTAGCCAAGCCTACAAAATAATGTCATACTAGTGAGTTAATCTTTCAAAAAAAAAAATCAAGTATCAAATTGTTTAATGCCTAATTAGCCGGAGTGAGACTAACCGAGCTCATATACTTTAGCAGCAACTTTAGCAGCAATGTGAGCAGATATCTTTCTGATGTTCGTAAAGGGTGGATATATCAGTCCCTTGTCATAGTTCTCCTGTGTCACTTGTGATGCTAGAGCTTCCGCTGTCCAAGCAAATCAAGAAATGATTCAGTTATTTAGTAGACATTCCTGAAGTAGCCATCGGTTAAACACGTACTTGAGGGATTTTTACGCCACAGTTGACACATGCATAAGAAATTTGCCATGTCCATATACAGTTCCTAAATTCTATGGTGTCTTTAGTTGGTTGCCATTGACGTCACATGTAAATATAAGAATCCAAAATAAAATCCAAAACACCAGTTCAATTGGTGTGTTTACAACTATGTTATTGAGTATAACTATTTTTCAGGCTCTAAATCATATACTTGCAGCTGCATTCAAAATGAATATAGTTGCAAGTACATGTTAGACATGTGTGCCACACAATTACACATTTAGCTGAAAAGAAAATTATTTCAGCAACAGCTTCTTTTTATCCTTCAATTACCATAATCCTAACAAGCCCTCAAGACAACTAAATTCAAGTGCAAGTACACTTACAGGCTGCGAGAAGCATGTCTTCATGTACACGAATAGCTCCAGATATTACCAAACCAAGACCAAATCCCGGAAAAATATATGCATTGTTTGCCTGAAGGGAAAAGAAACACGCAAATCAGTTCAAAGATCAGAGTATCTCAATCTGAAATAATAGACTCAAGAACTGTACACAGCACTTTCAAACCTGGCCAGATATGTGAGTTTTGCCTTTATATTCGACAGGACCAAATGGACTGCCACTAGCAAATATGGCACGTCCCTGTAGAAACAAACAAAAGATTTCTTGGGAGGTCATTTTTCGCCGAAGTAAAAAAATTCAACTCAGATATATTGCCATTTTAGTGGAGAAAAAGATATCATATAGAACCAGTGGCCTTTTACCTTACTCCAGGTGTATGCCTGTTCAGCAGTACATTCAGATTGTGAAGTCGGGTTTGAGAGAGCAAGAATTATGGGCTTCTGCACTTCGTACAAAAGAAAGGATGAGGTCTATTCTTGATTACAAACTGAAGATTTAAGAATTTATATGTACAACACACCTCATTGAAGGAGGTCATGGCCTCAACTACTTCCTGTGTGAATGTTTGCCCCACTCCAGATGATCCAATCAGCACAGTTGGTTTAATAATCTACAAAAGAGTTGAAGGATAAACATTAAAAACCTCTTGTATATTTCCATGTATATTAACATTAAAACCTCTTGTTAGCCACAAATATTGTTGAGATTGCATTTATGCAAAAGAAAATCAGGCAAGGGGATCAACACACTCAACATCAAGCAATAAATTATGAGGACATTTGCACATACAGGGAACAGAATCAAAACAATTCAGAGAACTTGCACTTTTATTCAGTTAATACAAAAAGAAAAAGGTTGGAGATATATACTAACCAGTGTGGGCTGTGTTCAAAGATAAAACTTTGGCATACGAGTGTATATTCTGTTAAGGGGCACCACACAGAAATCCTTATCACCTTTGCCTCTAGACTTTTATTGTCTGGAGGATTTGGAGGGTAGCTCCACAATACAAGCTTAAAGTACATGATTAAGAAGGTAGGTTTTCCTATCTGCCAGCTGACTTCCCTTATGGCAAACTCTCTATGGTTCATAGTTTTCTCAGAGGAATTTAGCACCAAGTAAAGGGGTTGAAGATGGGAGCTTCAACAGATTTAGAAATGTCGTCAGGTTTTCTTTTGAACCTTCTAACTTTATAATTATGTTCCAAACCTGACCCCATCATTCAATGGGAAAAGGCTCTTTGATGATGATACTAAGATATCACAAAGATCTGGTTCATTAATGAAAGTCGTATTGGCTTAACACTTTGGGTCCATCAACTAAAATAGATTATGAAGCATTACACTCACTAAGGTATAGGATACATCCCATCTTCTAGCGATGATAGAAGCATGCCAAAAAATTGATTGAAGTAATGTCCTAGTGTCCCGAGGAAAAAAATTTGATCAAAATATGAGATTATTAGGTTTACAAGTTAAAAATGAGAAATTTAGAAAGAGGACAAATATGAAGAAAGGAATGGCACTGGCAATTCAGTTTGCACGACTTCACACCTTTACAGCATCAATGAGTTCTTTGATAGGTTCATGCTCGTGCGCCCATGGTTTTTTGAATTGTTGAAGGGACTCCCTGCGTGAGCTAACAATCAATCCCTACAATATAATAGCTCATCTTAAGCAAAAATGAACATATAGTATATTCTTCTGAGATCCAGTGTGCATGTATGCATGTGAATAATAATTGTATGCTCTGCATTTTGCACAAATTCTCACCTTTGAATCAACGAGCCATATCTTCTTGCGACACTCTTCAATTGGGATCTTTGTCTGCAGAATGTTTTAGAAGAAAATATGGAAATAATGACTGAGGGTATTAAAAATTATTCTAAGAAATCACAAATTTTCAGGGAACAAGAAAAATATGGATTTGAGCTACTAAAATATGTGGAGCTTCTACCTGCTTTGACATCTCAAGGGCTATGAGTTTGGCAATACCAGTACCAGCCTGCAAGAACCAACAAAAAAAAACTATCTGCTAAAAAAGGCATCATCAATGAAGGACAAATTTAATATTGAATTGCAAACTAAAACCTAAATCATATTTAAGTTTCCTGATAGCCGCAGACTATACTTTTTTTTTTCTTTTTTTCTTTTTTGGGATGAGTAATGTAATATTTGCAACTTGCAATATGATGAATGCAAGGCTTCACGCATGCATTATCCACAGTTTTGTTATGACACCTATAGATGCAACATGTGCTCTATGTTTGGAAGATGCGAGCGCGCGCACAAACAAAGACAAACATTACCAACACTGAGAAAAGAGAGGAAAAAAATGAAACCCCAATAATAAATCAACAAAAGCATCTCTTCAGGAAAATTTGACTAATCATGAAGATTAGAACTTCAGATATATAGAACTGAAATGGGAACGGGTACAGGTGCAAGCGAGGATGCGGGTATGGGACACTGCAAATTTATAAGAGTTGTGGTACGAGGTTGTGGCTTGATTTTGAAGTGGATGCCCAAATAATGCTTTAATCATAGTTTCAAACCAGATAAGGGCTGAAATGAACCAAACTCATGTCAAATAATTTTCACCAAGTAAATATGAAGCATAGGATATACGTCTGAGATGAGTATGACGAGTGTTTTAATTTAAAACATATATTATACAATAGAATGCATGCATGAATAAATGTATGCATATACTCAAGTTTATAACGATTACCCTTCACCACAACTTCAGAGTTTTGGTGTAGTGGCAGGGGTCTTTAAGTTGGGAGATGCAAAATTGAGGATCATCTATAGACTATAGCAGAAACATAGCGGTTAATAGCCAGCCTTAGATAGGACAATCAAGACACACATTCGTGGAAAAAAACAACTAGCTGTTAGCATGTACATATACTGTGCAACTTAGGTAGCAACCCAGCACAAACCATCCATTAAAATTCAATGTGCTCAAGCAAATGCATCCAGATAGAGCAAAAAGTTGCACTGAGGTTCCAAGAAGCATGGTAAGACATGGTGGATCGCAAGTAATATATGGTCTAAGCAAACCAAACACAGTTTATAATTACTGGATTAAATTGCACCAAGTTGTAACTGATAACAAAAGATTGGACCACTAGCAGTGACTGATAGAAAATGAAAGAGTGACTAAGAAAATTAGTGAATAGTAAACCTCGCCGGCACCAAGAAACAAAAATTTGTGGTCCCCTAAAGTCCCACCGACCAACTTCAGTGATGCAACAAGCCCGGCAAGGACTACAGAAGCAGTTCCCTGCATTGATCAAAGGAAGAGATCACCAGTTTAGAAAAGTATGACTTTAACAAGGAATAAAAGGGGAAATTTTCTTGCATCTTACCTGAATATCATCATTGAATACAATATGACTCTTGCTATATTTTTCAAGCAATACGAAAGCATTATGGTTTGCGAAGTCCTCAAACTGCAAAATACACAAGATATAAAGGCAGATAAGAGATCACACTAGAACAGACAATTACGTAACCATCTCTCGAGATACCAAGTATGACTGACTTGTATAAGGACTTTCTCTCCATAGTTCTGCTTAACAGCAGACATGAATTCTTCTAGAAGTTCTGAATATTCCTATAGAAAAAAAATACAATTGTTCTTTTCAGCAATTCAACCAGCTGCAGAGTTCTAGGAAATTACATATCAACTCTTTGTTACCTGGCCAGCAGCACGCCTTCGTTTTAACCCAATATAGAACTCATCATTCAACAACTTTTTGTTGTTAGTTCCCACATCGATAGTGACAGGTAAGCACTACAGTGCATGCCGTAGCAGTTAAAAGAAGGAAGAGGTATTGTATAAGAGTATTTATAATTAATTTAGTGGAAGGCAATAGAAATTCATAAGTTTAAATGCTTACTGCAGATGGGCGGATCCCTCCAAGAGCAGTGTAAAGAGAAAGTTTTCCCACAGGGATACCCATTCCCTTAATAATTTGGAAATAATCTCTCAGAGCCAAATCAAAAAGAAATACCCAAACTAAACAACACATTATTTTAATTAAATAAAATAAAATTTACCTGGCAACCTAGATCTCCAAGACCCAAAATACGCTCACCATCAGTAACCACGATCACTTGAATCTTCCTCTCCGGCCAGTTTCTCAACACTTCAAGGACCTTTCCCCTGTATGAAGCACAACTCAGAAAACACAAGTACAAACAGAAAAAAATATGAATCATTTGAACTAGAAAACATACTTTTCTTTCAAACTGATATATAGGCCCTGAGGACGGCTAAAAATGCTCCCATACTTCTGGCAAGCCTCACCAACTGTCGGTGTGTAAACAACAGGCAGTAATTCTTCAACATTATCAATCAAAAGCTTGTAAAAGAGCCTCTCATTCCTCTCCTGAAAAGCATTGTTCGGGACTGTACTCACCAAAATAAAGCAGTATTTAAGAAATTCTAGAAAATACCTGAAGATCCATCAGCGCCATGTAACGTTGCAAAGGGACTTGATATTGGCGAAGGGTGTGCATTAGCTTCTTTTCCTGTGAGGGGACAGATAGTATTGTAAGTAGTTAAATTTCTAGAGGGAAAATGGGTATGATTTGTTCCCAAGATGAGAAGCATAGGAACCTGAAGTTCTTGAGAGATGACCACTGGAGGTAAGAGGCCTCGAATATAGTGAGCATCCCTCTCTTTCTCAGTAAATGCTAGCCCTTTGTTGTGATGAGGATCTCTCAATAAAGAACCACCACTGGTGAAGAAGAGAAGTTTCGTTAATTGAAGTGATAACTAGAGGAGACAGAGGAGCAATATTAACTAATTGAATAGAATCTGTACATTAACCTGAAGATTTTACGATTTGCAAGATGCCGCAAATTTGTAGATTGCTATTTGATAAATTGTTATAAAGTTTAAACTTTACAAGAATGAGATCCAGAAATCAAGAACTAAAAGATTGAATTCACAACTAATATGGAGAAAGATGACATGGTTTAGAATACTTGGTTAAACTTAAAACAATCATACTCCCCTTAAAAGAGGGAGTTGTGAAAAAACTTTCTATGAACTATATTACCCCTATTCTTTTTTGATATTACATTTTAATCCTAACTAAACTAAATTAATTATTATTGTTAATTAATTATATTGTATGCCACTTCAAGTTTGTCTAACTTGGTCCCTAAACTTCCAATGTTATCGTAAAAACTCTACATCATATTAATTATTACTAATGTATAATAATATATTAATAGTCAATTGCATGTTAATAAATTATTTATGGAAAGAGTAGAAAATATAGAATTATCCTAGAATTATACCATGACACTCATATAGGAAAATTACAAAGAGTATTCTTACGTTTAGGTAACAGGACAGAAGGTACAAACATGCAATTTTAGAAAATATTAGGATATTTAAGTACAACAAGATACAAGTTGAGGTATATAACTTTCATAAACTATAAGGTATTTAAGTTCAATTAAGTCTATAAAGATTTGAAAACTTTGTTAACCACAAATAATAGTATGTGATCCTGTTGATAAATAATATTCATTATATAATATGAGGCCAGAGGCATAACTTATATTTATATAGTAGAGGAGGTGTGGAAAAATAGCATCATATTTTAAATAAGTCTCAAGATTTTGAATTATTTCATGAAACTATATACTTTGCTTAGAAAACTTTCGAAGAGGCTTTCGAAGGACTACTACAAAGTGTTGGACATCAGATAAATATTGGACAACTAAAATCTATAATATCAGATTGCAGCATGAATATGTAAAAAATACTAGGTGTCATATGAGATAATATTCATACATAATACCAACATTGTAAGCTATAATCTAACATATTAATGAATTTTAAACATAAGAATTTGCATGAAAATATATGCTTAAAATTTGAGAGAGCTAAGAGTGGAGAGATTTGAGAAATGAATTGTGACTTTTGTGGCTTTCGTGAGTTTTGGTTTTGGTTCCCAAACATAACCTAAACCCTAGCCCATAATCAAATTAAAAATAACTCGATTTTATCGATATCTTCAAAGGGATGTATCGGCCAATATTTTTGATAACGACCGATATTTTTCAAAAAATCCCCAAATAAAAGAAAACAATACAAAATGATAAATATTATCGAGTAAGGTCTTTAACCTGATATATTGGCCGATAAAGTGATATACGGGCTGACATTTAATACATTACCCATAAGAGCAATATTTAAAGATAATTTAGATACAAGTTCCTTGATTTTAGATCTTTAATAATTCTATATCATTCTTTCAAAATTTTGAAATTGCTTATAATGAAGGGACTAATATTGAATTATTAAAAATTTGAGGGACAAAAATATAAACAAGCCAAATTTAAAAAAAATATTATTTTTTTAAAAACTCTGATTGTCTCAGAAAACTCACTCAATTGATTTAATTTGACAAAACACCCTAACTATGAGGGTATTGTAGATAACCCCTCTTAACTTTGGTGCGATATTAGAACATACCCCTAGATTATAGCATCTCATAAAAACTCCCCCAATCTTTTACACTTCTCTCAACAAAACCCCTTGCTGTAGTTACTTGAATATGTGATTTGGAGAAAATACCCTCTCGAAGAAAGCTACTTCAGTTATAAAGAAACTCTCAGCCGATAATAAAAGAACCACAATCAACTTATAATTCTTTTTCCCTTTATATCTCCTCTTTTTTATTAATCTAGCAAAAACCAAGCTAATTTTCTTATGGTTGAGGGATATTTTGGTCTTTCCAAGTCAAATACTTATCATATAATAGATTAAACTCAATGATACTAGTTTTGAGCGGTTAAGTAAGAAAAGTTTTACGGTTAAATAAAAAATTTGAAGTTGAGATAGATTATCTACAACACCCCACATTTGACGAAGATTTACTCAGTTTCAAATTAGCAATTTTTGTAGTCAAAGGCCCAAGTTCGAGGTTTGCCACCCATGTCCCTTAAGTGTCCTACTAACTTGGTGACTGGATGAGGTAAGGGGGCCCAATTCACCTGGGATTTACTGGTGAGGGTAAGGGGCTCAACCTCAGGCCTTGGCTCGGGATCCTTCTGATTTACTAGGTTTCCCTTGTATCCAAAAAAATAGTTGAGGGGTTTTTTGACATTGCCCCCCATAACTGAGAGGGAATTTTCTAAAATTAACCCTTAAACAAATCGTAACTTAAGACACATATGAAATCATTCTTATAAAAGTGGATTTTATAGCAAGTATATCACTCTATGAACTGATTTAGGTTATGTCCTAAGATTTATCCTATACATCAACTCTGAAAATCTTTTGCTACAAGAATCTCTAAGAGAAATTTAATCTTTATTTGTGAAGGATATGTGATCCTTCTGATTCCCCTTATTTTTCATGTTTTGTAATAAATTATTTGACAAAATAAATTAAATTGTTCATTTTATAGTTCTCACCTTATAAGTTTATGAAGCACATAGCTTGGGTATGAGTATTATTATGGATATTGAATTCTTCTAACTTCTTAACCTAAAATTTTGGATGTTGTTTGACATTGGATAGATCTGAATTATTTGTTAAAATACAATCCATAGTGCATAATATGTATAAATCATTCTCATATCATATTAGCAAAGGAAATATGCCACTGTAGGATTTAGAAGGTTGCAACTTGCAAGCACATGGAAAATTTGGAGAGAGCGGAACAATAAAATTTTACCGATCTCAACACTTTTATTGCCGGATGTATCAACACTCTTTTATGTTAATAATTGACACTGATCATCTCTATTCCAAGAAGGCAGTAGAGGTCAGATTCTTTGACAAGATGTGAATAGGGTGGGCTCAGATGCATCAAATTCAGAGTAAGGATTCAGATATTGCCATGGATGGAAACTAACACAACTCCAATGTGCTCGGACTTCTGTATCTCAGAATAATATAGCATGACCATATCTCTTGATATTTGGAGTGTCTAGAAATGACTCATTATCCTATCGTATCTACTATCTAGTATGAAATAATTTGCTTTCTCACTTTATTCTTTATCTATTCATATGTCTTCCGCTTCTAGCTTCTGCTTACTCTTGTACCATTTGGAATGTCAAGTATGTCAAGTGTTTATGAATAAATGGTTTTTTTTCACCCACTATATCTATCCAAAATAAAATGAAATGGAAAGTAGTATTGACACTTCCAACCAGCTGAAGTCAAATCATAGCCTAGTTATGAAGTAATATTTTCATCTCCCAGAATATCATACTCCCTTTAAAAGCATGAGTTTAGGAAAATCTTTCAATAGACAAAAGTACCATTGGAATTCAAATATTATTTTATTAATTAAGAGTAAGTTGATAAATTGATGAATTCTTATTAGATATGCATAGTATGAAGATAAGGATACAGTTTAAATTAAAATGTAAATCTAAATAAAATTATTAAATGCCAAATTTGCAAATGTCTACAAAATAAAGATTGTATATACAAAAACTAAATAAATTAATGAGACAAATAATGTCTACCCTAAAGGTCGAACCCAGGAACGACGTAGACTTACAAATGTACATAATGTGAATGAGATATTTACAAAATTCACCAAACAAATTAAAGCAACAAAAATCATTCTCAAAATTATAAAAAAAGAAAAATTAAGGAAAAAAAAATAATACTCCCTTTAAAAGCACGAGTTCGGGAAAAGCTTTCAACATTCAAAATTACCATGTACTATTTTAAATATTTAATTTAAATTATAATCTATCCTAATCATACTTGTATCCTATCCTAATACCTATTGAACTATCTATAGCTCAACAATTTAAATAAGATTAATAAAATATATAAAATAGCTCCGTAGTATCAGTTTATTACATAAAGTATTACAAAAAAGCAAAAAAGTTTTAAAAATTAGACAAAATACTCTCAACAGTTTAAAATTACACAAAATAAAAAGCTAAAAATTTAGAACTTGGCAAAGAAAAGAGTAATTGTGTGATATTCTTTCACTAAGATATATAAATATAACATATAATTTAAGGTTTACTATCCCTTTTTAGAATCTGAAAATAGTCAAGTTGATACTAGCAGAAAAATAGTAATAATAACATATTAAAATATCCACTTAAAGAATAAAAATTTTAAAATATATATGATAGATTAAAAATTAATATTATTGTATAAATTAAAGTAACTGCATATAATTTTACCAATATGTTAGAGCAGAAAAAATACATATGTATCATTAATTGATAGAAGACTAAATCGCAAAAACTGATAAAAGACTATAATATAATAGTTTCATATTAATTGATTATAATTTATAAATATTAATCTTTAATGGTAATAATAAGTAGCTAACATACTATAATATATGAATTACTGTTAAAAACTAAAAAGTTTCAAAAAAATTACACAAAACACCCTCAATAGTTCAAAATTACACAAAACATCTTGACTTTTCAAAACTTAAAATAACAAACATAAAATCTAGAAATTAGTAGTAGCCCCCTAAAAATTAAAATTCACAATTAACACCCTCAAATTTAAAAATTGTAGAAAGACCATTAAAAGTTCAATATTACAAAAAAAATCATGAAATTTGAAAAATATATTGATAGATTAAAATTTAATATATTGATAGAATGAAAGACAATAATATAATAGCTTAGCATTAATTGATTATATTTTATAAACATTATTCTGTGATGTTAGTAATATTCATAGGGTAAAAAAATTAGGTATAACACATTCAAACAAATATTA